TAATTGTGAAACCCCCCACCCCCCCCCCCCCAAAACAAAAAACACACATTGTTACTTTGCAAATTGTTACTGTGAATAGTATGAGCTCCGCCCCTTTACAGGAGAGGAACCCTCTGCGCATTTTATGGCTGTGCGTTTTTGTTTTGCTCAGAGTCCGAGCCGTAAAGGACCGTCACGCCTGTTTACACTGACGGAGCCGCCGCCTCCTCCTCCCGCACTCCTCGCACCTCTTAACTCCTGCTTGACTGGAACTACCTGATATTCAGAGAATTATTTTATAATATTTATATGACTAATGATTACATTTCTGGGAGGGTCAGCTGATGTCTCCTGGGATGCCAAACGCTGTCAAATGTTTTAATAAAAGGTACTTAGTTTTTATGTTTTTTGTTGTCTCATTTAGGCCTGATAATGATTTAAAAAAAAAAAAGTTTTTATAATATATCCAGCCTACCTTTACAGTAAAGAATCCACAACCTGACTACTTTTATATACAGTCTACACTTACAGTAAAGAATCTGCAGCATGACTACTTTTATATACAGTCTACACTTACAGTAAAGAATCTGCAGCATGACTACTTTTATATACAGTCTACACAGAATTCACTTGCACTAGTTTTACAGTAAATGATAAAGAGCCAAGCTACCTTTACAGTAAAGAATCCAGAATCAAGTCACCTTTACAGTAAAGAAACCGAAGCCAAGCTACCTTTAGAGTAAATAATCCAGAGCTGAGCTACCTTTACAGTAAAGAAACCAAAGCAAAGTTACCTTTACAGTAAAGAATCCAGAGCCGAACCACCTTTACAGTACAGAATCCAGAGCTGAGCCACCTTTAGAGTAAAGAATCCAGAGCCGAGCCACCTTTAAAGTAAAGAAACCAAAGCCAAGCTACCTTTACAGTAAAGAATCCAGAGCCGAGGTACCTTTACAGTAAAGAATCCAGAGCCGAGGTACCTTTACAGTAAAGAATCCAGAGCCGAGGTACCTTTACAGTAAAGAATCCAGAACCGAGGTACCTTTA